ACTCACAGAAAGTGAAGTCAGACATAGTGCATTGTGAGATATCAATGCACTGCGTCTGACTTCACTTTTCATTTCTGGGACAGATTAACTGCAAACGTCACCACAGATTTTTTAACACTTCCGTCTTGATGTAGTATTTACTCAGACATACAAAAGTCAAAATTTTAATCCAAAATATAACATTTATATCTGAGATGAAAACTGGACTTAATTGAACTAAACCAGAGGTGAGGGTGTGTGCAAATGTAGCACACTACATGAAATAATATATAATAGTATGCAGTATATATGACACACACTGCAATTCAGGAGACCTGAATATGTATTAGCACTAAAGTATGCAGTAGCGCTACATTTTGTAGTATGCAATAGCACTGATATGCAGTAGCGCTAAAGTATGTAGTATGCAGGAGCAATGAAGTATGTAGTAGTGGGAGCGCTGAAGTATGTAGTAGCACTGATATGCAAACGCGCTGAAGTATGAGTATGCAAGAGCACTGAAGTATATAGTAGTGGGAGCAATGAAGTATGTAGTAGTGGGAGCGCTGAAGTATGTAGTAGCACTGATATGCAAAAGCGCTGAAGTACGAGTATGCAAGAGCACTAAAGTATATAGTAGTGGGAGCGCTGAAGTATGTATTAGCACTAATATGCAGTAGTGCTAAAGTATGTAGTGTGCAGGAGCGCTGAAGTATGTAGTAGCACTGATATTCAGGAGCGCTGAAGTATGAGTATGCAGTAGAGCTGAATATACAGGAGCACTGCAGTATGTAGTAGTGGGAGCGCTGAAGTATGTAGTATGTAGGAGCGCTGAAGTATGAGTATGCAGTAGAGCTGAAGTATGTAGTATGCAGGAGCACTGAAGTATGAGTATGCAGTAGAGCTGAAGTATGTAGTATGCAGGAGCACTGAAGTATGTAGTAATGGGAGTGCTGAAGTATGTAGTAGCACTGATATGCAGGAGCGCTGAAGTATGAGTATGCAGTAGAGATGAAGTATGTAGTATGCAGGAGCTCTGAAGTATGTAGTAGCACTGATATGCAGTAGCGCTTAAGTATGTCGTGTGCAGTAGAGCTGAAGTATGAGTATGCAGGAGCACTGAAGTATGCAGTAGAGCTTAAGTATGTAGTATGCATGAGCACTGAAATATGAAGTATGCAATAGCACTGAAGAATGCATTAGCACTGAAATATGAAGTATGCAGTAACACTGAAGTATGAGTATGCATGAGCACTGACGTATGCAGTAGCATTGAAATATGAAGTATGCAGGAGCACTGAGGTATGTAGTATGCAGGAGCACTGAAGTATGAGTATGCAGGAGCACTAAAATATGAAGTATGCAGTAGCACTGAAGAATGTAGTATGCAGGAGCACTGAAGTATGAGTATGTAGTAGCACTGAACTGATGTATGTAGTATGCAGGAGCACTGAGGTATGTAGTATGCAGGAGCACTGAAGTATGAGTATGCAGGAGCACTAAAATATTAAGTATGCAGTAGCACTGAAGAATGTAGTATGCAGGAGCACTGAAGTATGAGTATGCAGTAGCACTGAAGTATGAGTATGCAGTAGCACTGAAGTATGTAGTATGCAGGAGCACTGAAGTATGCAGTAGCCCTGAAGTATGTAGTATGCAGAAGCACTGAAGGGCCAGCAGAGGCCTCTGCTGTGCAGTTTGTGATTAGATATGCAGTGTTTATGTCTGGTGTTATAGAGTTGTGTAGGAGTGACATCACTCAGTAGGCCAAACGCATAAGCGAGCTGCATTTAAGCACATCATCCCGAAGTCAATTGCTGCGTCCCAATTCGCTTAGTTATACTACGCCCTAAAAGTATGTACTCTTTTTGTGAAGAAAAAGTACATACTTTTGAGTGTGTAGCAAAAGAGTAGGCAAGCTTTGGGACATACTATCACGTCATCTTTAACGGACGGCTCTGTCACGTGCTGTATGCATCCTGTCACCGTAAGCTGCCCTGTCAATCATCTCGTCACAGTTAAAACCCTTAATTCAATCTAATTTGATTTCCTACCGTTTCGGAGCGTGTTCATCTGCCAGTCGTGGGTCTTTAATGCAGAGACTCTCCCCGTGTTTGCAATTTGAATATAATGATGCATTTAAAACGTAATGGCTAAACGTATCTTTACAAAAAGTTCACAATGCTGCTGCAAATGCAATATAATGTGGACAACATTTAATAAATTCATTTTCGTCAGGTTAGATACTGATAATTAAACACTCAAAGCTCTTTATCTAAACCTCTCTACACAGCCGCGGGACTCGCGCGTCCTCCGTGTCTGTAGTTTTTTAACACTTTTTACTCGTGTTTGTAGTTCTAACCGAATCCTCGTCCGACGCGCAATGGTTTGTGGGCAATATCAGCCGTTAGAGTGTGCATCGATCTACACTTCGGATTCTGACCGGAAATAGTAGACCATCCGGGTATCTTTGAAACACTCATTTCAACATACTACGAATTGGGACGTACTAATTCTATTTTCGAATACTATTTAGGACGGATAGTATGCGAATTGGGACGTAGCAAATGTTTTTTTTTTTATTAAATGGCTGAAATAAGGTCTGTGGTGTACACAGGCACAAGACACTTTCATGTTTTATTCAACAACATAAAACACACCAGTATTACCATACTCATGATTGAGTGAAGCTGTTCCTGTGTGAAACTTCCTTACGCTGAACTGGTAAACTAAGTGCGCTGTTACAATATCGCTATGCTAATAGCTGTGCTCTTATACACTATTCTAACTGAAATGTTCTGGGGAAATGTTGTTAGATAATATCTGAGAGAGTTAGTGATGGTGACGTTGCATTCGTAGGACCGCGGTGTAGTTCGCTATAGCTTAGCTTTAGCTTTTTACTTCTAGCGACTGCATCTAGGCTTAAAAATTCATTTAAGTTGTGTTCATCTGTGATAATTTTTCGGATGGACAAAAAGTGTACAATGTTTTGTTGATCACAGAGCTTGTTTTCAGGGATAATCCAAAATCCTATTGGGTTTAGGGAACCAGAGTGATGCGAACTGTCCGTTGGCCTATAAAGTGACATCATACCCGCACCGCTCTATAGCGACAGTGCAAACAGAAATGATCATCCTGTCATCATTTTCTCACTCTCATGTTCCAAACCCATAACACTTTGGTTCACCTTCGAGTTCGAAACACAAATTATGATATTTTTAACTTGAGAGATTTCTGTCCCTCCATTAAAAGTTCAGGTAACCAAAATTTTTGGGATCCAAAAAAGATCATAGAGGCGTTGTCGAAATAATCCATATGCTTAAATTAAATTTGTTCATTTAACGATTACCGCTACCACAAACCACATCAGCTTCAGTGTTTACATGTACAGTATATGTGTAAAGCGATCGATTCATTTTATGATGCCTTATGGGATCTTTTAAAGGCACAATATGTAAGTTTTCGCCACTAGAGGTCGCTTATTCACATCAAAGGCGTAGCTTGATAACGTGTTGATTTGGCGGGATCATGGGAGTTGTTGTCTTCACCTCTACAGCCGTGGAGAATACAGCAGAGATCATATTCATGGATGAGCGGTAATGTATTAAAGATTTATTAACGTTATGGAAGCCGTTGTAGCGGAACGAGCCGCTGGAGCGATTGCTTCTGCAACATGACATCATGACTTTTGCGTAAACATACACGCCACTTTCAAGTCAAGCGGCGTGTTATCTATACGCATTTTGAGCTATCCGCGTGTATGCATGTCTACGCCGTTAAATGTCCGAGTGATTCCGCGTGTATGTACACGCCGTTAAATGTCCGAGTGATTCCGCGTGTCTGTACACGCCGTTAAATGTCCGAGCGAAACAAAGCAAAATGTAGATCTACATCTGGGGGGCGATATTTTTTTTTTCCTAGGATGGAAGGGGAAGACTCATAAATGGTATTAACCCCAGTGACGGGTAGGTTTAGGGACGGGGTTGGGGTAGGTCATATATTTTATATATACAGTAATGTAACCATTACGTTAAGTCAACGGCGTTCATAAACACGCTGAAAAGCGATTATGCGTGTTGATAGCACGCCAAAAATGGAAATACGAATTGGCGTGTCATACGCCATTTCATGAGATCAGTCTGGCTAATGAGAGACTTTTTTACGTTTTTATTATAGTTTTTATTATATGCTTCCTCTTCTTCCGTCATGCGTATGTGGGAAACGCAGCGTGGGAAACGCAGCTTACATATAACAATGATTCGTTTTCTGTCGATGATTACAAACAGTTGCTCACATGTCTAATAAAACACATAAAGTAATAAATTAAAGGTGCAGTGTGTAAAATTTATGAGGATCTATTGTCAGAAATGCATTATAATATACATAACTATGTGTTCAGTGGTGTATAAAGAACTTAATGAACCGTTAATGAGCCGTTTCTCTGCACACACGGCGGGTCCCCTTGTACATCAAGTCGCCATTTTGTGCCGCCATGTTTCTACAGTGGCCCTAAATGGACAAACTTTTTATTTCACTGTTGTTTTTCGTCTTCTTTGTTGGTGTATGGACAGCGTAGTTATTTACTATTAGCTAACTTAGCGGCTTCACTACTCTTACCTTGTTACTAACTAGCATGCAAAAAAGCTAGCTAAAGTCAGCGAAAAAACACTGACACAGTGATTAACAGGTAACAATAATATTGTTTACTGAATAATTAAGTGTATACATATAATTTCTTATTCTATCTTTGTAAAGAAACCTCGTTGCTAGACTGGCTACTCTCTGCTGTCTCAGACGACGACATTTGTTTGTCCTGTTTAGGCCACCGTAGCTTCTTCGAAAGGAAGGGCTGAGCCATTAGTTGCAGTTCACAACCAAACCACTAGATGCTGCAGAAATCTACACACTGCACTTTTAAAGCTATTTCTCTGGATTTAAACATTTAAACAAACAAATCAATAAAATATATAACATTGTTCAAGTGTTTTTTTGGATATTTTTTTTTCTAAAAATCTTACATATTGTGCCTTTAAGTTTAAAAAGCATTTAATGGAGGGACGAAACCTCTCAGCTTTCATTAATGACAGTCGTACACGTTCAACGCGATGACAGAAATTTCATTTTCGTTCGCCTGACTTCTGGCTCGACCAACGAAACAACCTCTAATAATCTGTTTAGCAGGCATTGCATTGCCAGCATTGACTGGCTTTTCTGAAGAAACCTGTGGGGAAAGAGCTCACTTCTTGAGTTTGGCTTCGTCTTTAAGTGCTAATGTACAACTACAGCTACTGAGATACAGGAGAGCATGAGGGCCGGTTCCTCGTGAGGTTCTGCGTACAGAAACTCGTCCTGCCTTGATTCTTTGGAATCTTGATTCTTGATTCTTTCGTTTACAAAAATACCACTGAAACGGTCTAAATGTAGCTCTGATGAGATTGTGTAACATATCGCAGGAGAAAGCTGCCGGCGTCTACACATGCAGAATGTAACCAAGAGCAAACTCAATCCATCTAAACCGAGAAGTTGAGGGGATTTCACTAAAAGCGTAAAACTTTGTTGTTGAGAAGCGACTTCTTAAGGCAAGAACATAAGCACAACTGGCTTCATGTGGACAGCTCTCCAACTCCCACTGTTACCGTGACAACAGCTCTCTCGCGCTGTTGCCATGGAGGCGGAGCCTGCCGAAGTGATGCGGAGAGTCTTTTGTTTCTCAGACCATCAGTCCATTTCTGGAGATAAAATCCCAAATCTCGAGGGAAGTCCCAGGCTGCTCCTGTCCTGCATAGCGAGCATGTGCAGTGAAGGCATGGGGATCTACCACAGCTGAGGGTTCTCCAGTTTGAGGAAGCCCGGGTCCTTGCGCAGCTCCCAGTATGTGTTGTTGGACACCCATCTCTCCCTCTGGTTGCTGTCCATAACCTTCCTGTGACACAGAGGAAGCACAGGTCAAAAACTGAGTCCAGACTTTGAGCATTTACACCTGGGACTGGTTGCATAAATTGCTAAGACTTAGAAGTTAGTCATCAAATGTTTTTCTTTAAGACTGTACATAACTTTTTTAAGTTAGTTACATAAAAACTGATTGACTGATCTAAGACTAAGACTGATCGCCCTTAATTAACTGCTAATTGTTCGTACTAGTTCCCAAGACATAGTCTTAGCATAACGTTAATGTTAATGTGCATCTTGGGTGATCCGATTTAAAGGGATAGTTCACCTAAAAATGAAAATAACCCCATGATTTACTCACCCTCAAGCCATCCTAGGCGTATATGACTTTCTTATTTCAGAAAAAAAGTGCATGCATCCATAATAAAAGTGCATCTATCCATGATATTAGTTCATCTTCCATCATAAAAGTGCATCTACCCATGACAAAAGTGCATCTATCCATCATAAAAATGCATCTACCCATGACAAAAGTGCATCTGTCCATCATAAAAGTGCATCTACCCATGATAAAAGTGCATCTATCCATCATAAAAGTGCATCTATCCATCATAAAAGTGCATCTATCCATCATAAAAGTGCATCTACCCATGACAAAAGTGCATCTATCCATCATAAAAGTGCATCTACCCATGACAAAAGTGCATCTGTCCATCATAAAAGTGCATCTACCCATGATAAAAGTGCATCTATCCAACATAAAAGTGCATCTATCCATCATAAAAGTGCATCTACCCATGATAAAAGTGCATCTATCCATCATAAAAGTGCATCTATCCATCATAAAAGTGCATCTACCCATGATAAAAGTGCATCTATCCATCATAAAAGTGCATCTATCCATCATAAAAGTGCATCTACCCATGACAAAAGTGCATCTATCCATCATAAAAGTGCATCTATCCATCATAAAAGTGCATCTGTCCATCATAAAAGTGCATCTATCCATCATAAAAGTGCATCTACCCATGATAAAAGTGCATCTATCCATCATAAAAGTGCATCTATCCATCATAAAAGTGCATCTACCCATGACAAAAGTGCATCTATCCATCATAAAAGTGCATCTATCCATCATAAAAGTGCATCTACCCATGACAAAAGTGCATCTATCCATCATAAAAGTGCATCTATCTATGATAAAAGTGCATCTGTCCATCATAAAAGTGCATCTGTCCATCATAAAAGTGCATCTACCCATGATAAAAGTGCATCTATCCATCATAAAAGTGCATCTATCCATCATAAAAGTGCATCTATCCATCATAAAAGTGCATCTACCCATGACAAAAGTGCATCTATCCATCATAAAAGTGCATCTATCCATCATAAAAGTGCATCTGTCCATCATAAAAGTGCATCTGTCCATCATAAAAGTGCATCTACCCATGATAAAAGTGCATCTATCCATCATAAAAGTGCATCTATCCATCATAAAAGTGCATCTGTCCATCATAAAAGTGCATCTGTCCATCATAAAAGTGCATCTACCCATCATAAAAGTGCATCTATCCATCATAAATGTACATCTATCCATCAAAAGTGCATCTTCCCATCATAAAAGTCCATCATAAAAGTGCATCTACCCATCATAAAAGTGCATCTATCCATCATAAATGTACATCTATCCATCAAAAGTGCATCTGTCCATCATAAAAGTGCATCTATCCATCATAAAAGTACATCTATCCATCAAAAGTGCATCTATCCATCATAAAAGTGCATCTATCCATCATAAAAGTGCATCTGTCCATCATAAAAGTGCATCTACCCATGACAAAAGTGCATCTATCCATCATAAAAGTGCATCTATCTATGATAAAAGTGCATCTATCCATCATACTATCCATCATAAAAGTATCTATCATGATAAAAGTGCATCTGTCCATCATAAAAGTGCATCTGTCCATCATAAAAGTGCATCTGTCCATCATAAAAGTGCATCTGTCCATCATAAGTGCATCTGTCCATCATAAAAGTGCATCTGTCCATCATAAGTGCATCTAGCCATGATACAAGTGAATCTGTCCATGATAAAAGTACATCTATCCATCATAAAACTAATCAATATTTCAGGGAGTTAATAAAGGCCTTCTGAAGCAAAGTCATGGGTTTGTTTAAGAAAAATATCAATATTTAAAACTTTATTAGCTATAATAACTAGTTTATTATACATAATCAATTAAACTTTACTCACATTGATCTTTTAAACTGAAATGTAGGTCTAATTGTATTCTAACTTATTAATCACATGCTAATTGCACTTATTGAAAGGGAATTTTTCATAATTTGAATTGATGAATTTTGCCTCATTAAACCCAGAGAGCAGGAACAGATCAACACACAGAGTGAAGGACAGGAGCTGAAGAGAGCACTGACTTGAAGAAGCGCGGCTGGTATTTGATGTTGTTCTCCTCCAGCCACTTCCTCTTGTTCCTCTGCTGCTCTTCGATTCTCTGCTTCTCCGCGGCGGCCATCTGGACGTTCCCCTCCTCCAGATACCTGAGACCAGTGTTGGGAGTAACGCATTACAAAAGTAATAGATTACAGTAACATATTACTTTTTGCTGTACCGCAGTAGTGTAAGGCATTACTAATCAATTTTCAGTAATATTTTACTCGTTACATGTTCAGTGAGGCTTGTATTACTGTTGTATTACAGTGAGGCTTGTTCTATGTTCTATGGAGACTGGAGAGCCAACCCTTCCTCATCCGATTTGCGCAGTGTAATTAACAGAATTACAAAAAAATATAGGTTGCCTCCTACTTTTTTGTCATGCTTGAATGTGTGTCTTTTCCCTAATATTAAAAATAAAACATAGACTGATATTTGTCTAAAGTCTGGAGTCCTTTAAGGAAGTAGCCTATATACGTTTCAATACATTATGTATTTTCTGAGAATTTTTATTTCAAGTTTTGACTGCAAATGTCATGTCCATAATGCTGGACTTCCCCAATTTTAAATAATTTATCCTCAACTAGTTTTGTGGTGTAGGTCTACGTATTTTCTAATGTTAACTTCAAATAATACTAATAGCCTAATTTAAAGATAAGGCAGCAGTGGATCTGGACGGTAAGGAGAATAACGCTGGAGTTGGAAGAGGTGTGTCGCGATTCTGTAGGTTCGTGGATCTGAGTGCGGCCAATCGCGATTTCATATTGCATATCATTAGAAGTTAAGTTAAGCCCCAAAGTTAAGTTCTACTTCCGAGTTATTTTGGTGAAAGTAACTCAAAAGTAATACATGAGTAATGTAACGCATTACAATTCTGAGACAGTAATATTGTAAGGTAATGAATTACTTTTAAATAACAGTAACAAGTAATACCTAATGTATTACAGTTTGGAAGTAACTTGCACAACACTGCCTGAGACACACATCACACACCAGCGCGATCACTGACTGCTTCGTTGCAGAGTTTTCAAGGAGGGTTGAAAGAGATGAACTAAACAAGAAACTCTCTCAGGGAGCAGAAAACACTCTAACAAACAGAGTTTAATTACAAAGTGACATGAAAGACTAGGGCCTGGTTTCACTGACAGCGCTTAGATTAAGCCAGGATTAGACTTTAGTTTAATTAAAGCGCTTAAGTAACATTTATAAACATGCCTGAGGGCCTGATATACTCATGCAAAGCTCTTTTTCGTTCTTCGCGTTGGGGGTTGAAAGAAGTTTTAAACACGCGAGCAACGATATACTGTTAGAGAACACCTGATTAATATGCTAATATGTGCGCTGATCTTTCCTTTCAATAACCAACAAACACAATAACAACGACAGCGGAGAGAACAGCAGTTCAGAAAGCATCTGATCGCAGCGATGCGGATATATTTGCACGAGCTTTACAATTCAGCAGTTTTTTTATGCAGCACTTCATACAATAGATTGTTTTAAAGCAGCAGCTTTACCGTTTTAAACATAAATAAACGGTTTCAGTGTGTCTTTTAATTAACGTTAACTTCATTTTCTGCCATAAAGCAGTCCTCCAGTGTGTTCATGTTAACTCATGGACGTCCGAGCTCAAAGGATTGATGAATCGAAGAAGATTTACACCTCAAAGAAGGTGGAGCCTCAGAGCCACACCCACCTATTACATCATCACCACCACCGACCAATGGCAACGTTTTTACAGAAAGCCGTTTCAAAGTTCGTTTTGGCCTGGTTTTGTCTTCGTTTGTTTCCGTTCTTCGATTTCGCTTGATGTACAGTCTTAAAAACGCATGAAAAAAGTGCTTTGCCGGTTGCATAGGAAATTATTCTTTTCAAAACTGTCTTCATTGTTCATTTTTGCTTTCACCTTTCCGTTTCAACAGTAAATACTGTGCGTCATAGGGGTGTAACGGTAAATGTATTCGTATTGAACTGTTTCGGTTCAGTACGCATACAAACCGAACGATTCCTTGGACCGTTTTTCCTGCCGTCAAAATTCGCGCTGGCACGGCCACCACAATGTTGCGCAACATCAAATGGCAGGCTTAATGAAAGTGGAACAAAACTGCGCTACTCGTTATGTGCTTCATGGATCAATTATTAGTTCGGACCAGCAACATCTGTGCAGCACGAGCCGATCTCCATCAAGCGACACTGTTACTACACAGCACTAAGAGCTCCAGTGAAGAAAACATTTGAATTCGCCACTGAGGTAATAACATCGCTGCGAGATCTAGTGAGAAGCATTCACATTTCTCCATTATTAACCGTAGATCTCTATTAGATCAAACGGCGCTGACGTGGAAACCAGGAGAAACATTGTGCCGTGAATGAACTAGTAACACTTTACCTCCACAGACCAGCAACATTCACCATGGATTTAATATAGGAACACTAACTGGAACCAATTTGGCTGGAATAGTGAAATGCTTTCAAGTACTTCACACATCTTTTTCCAGCACTTCAAAACTCAAATATTATATAAATAAATATATAGTCAAATGTTATTTTTAATGTGATGACCAAAACTCCCATTTATAAACCTGAAAGTTTCAAGATGTAGGAAAACTCAAACTTATTTAAAAATATTTTTTCTTTTAACAAATAGGAAATTTGTTCGGCATTTCTTTCTTTCTGCTGTATCGAAAACGTACCGAACCGTGACTTTAAAACCAAGGTATGTACCGAACCGTGATTTTTGTGTACTGTTACACCCCTAGTACGTCAACATAAAGGTCCATAAAAGCTGAGGTTTTCCTACAACACAATCACAAAGATTCTGGAATCCTCCAAAACCAGGTTGAAATCATTTCCAGAGTGAGTTTGTCTTGTGAGGCCGTGTGTGTGTGTGTGTGTGTACCTCTGGTCGGGTCTGAAGCGAGCATCTGTTGGTGGCAGCAGCTCCTTCAGCTCAGGGAAGAGCTCGTTGAGCTCCACAGCAAACCTGCTGAAGCCGTAGTACAGCTCGTAATCTGTGGGCATGGACCCTGAACACACACACACACTCATTTACACTCAGGAGAATGTAAGAGGAGACACATTTCACTCTCAAACATCATCACAACTGCCCTCTGCTGCGTCATAACTGCTGAAATGAGAGCGTTTAATCTTCAAGATCGTGAATATTTCCTTCTGGCCATTACACTTCATTAAATTAAACAGATTTGAGATGTGAGTGATCAAAGCTGAATGTTCAGCATCATTACTCCAGTCTTCAGTGTCACATGATCCTTCAGAAATGACTCTAATATGACGATCTGATGATCAAGAAACATTTATGATCATTATCAATGTTGAAAACAGTCGTGCCGCTTCAGATTTCTGTGGATTCCGGGACAGGTATAATTTATAATTTAAAAGGTATAACGGTATAATTTAAAATTCAGGGGTTTAAAATACATCAAGGGTCAGATGATCCAATAGAAACAGCACATTGAAGTAATAAGTTCCAATATAACTACTTCAGCACAGGCACGGGTCTGATGGAGAGAAGGCTTTTGCTCAGCCCAAAATGTCCATCAAACAGAAAAGCTTTACTCAGCAACATAATCAATCTGAGGGAACATTGCCTGTGTGTGTGTACCTGGTCTCCAGATGCATTTAGCTGAAGGTGGGACTCCACAGTACAGACCCTCATGCCATTTCCCAAACAGTCTGTGGACGATTTTTCCCTCCTGGTCCATCACAGATCCTTGCAACTCATTCACATTCGAGCTCCAGTAGTTCCCCTGGACATACACACACACACACTGATTAGGGTTGGGAATCTGTTGATTGATTTCTGAGTCATGATACGACTATGAAACAATTTGCGTATGGTTCTATGTTGCAAATATAGAGTAAATACTGATTGGAAGTGATTATCCCAATGCCTTACACTAGATCCGAAGGGAAAGACTTCCCTGTCTCGCACTGTTACCATGACAACACAGTGTCCATCCCCCTATTGGCTGATCTTACTGCAGGAATCTTTTATTCACAGCTGGTAATGTGACTGCTGTTCAATTTTGCATAAATCATTTTAAATGATTTCTAATTTCATCACAGGACTAAATGTCATTTTAAAATATATTAAATTGAAGACAGTTATATTAAATTGTAATAAACATTTTTAAAATACTGTTTCTTAAACCAATTGCAAATGCAGGCACAACTGCTATCCGTCATTGGCAGGTGTCTCCCCCTGGTGGCGTACAGGATAACACTGTCAGTCTGCTGTACATCGCTCTGTTCGTCCAGATCTGAATTATTATGTTCCTTTTGTATTTCAGTTGTAATAAAAATCTCAAAAAGATGATGTCAATTTAATGTTCTGCATCTAGAGTTTTTTTTTTGCATTTTAATTAAGATTGTTAATATAACTTAAAATGCTCCTATTATGCTTTTCTTGGATATTACCTTTTATGTAGTGTGTAATATTAAATATATATATATTGTAAAAATGTATATATTAAGAAATATTCAGGGTTTGAAATGAACACTCGCCAAATGCGGGGAAAAATGAACTGTGGGTAATGTGGCGTGTTACTTATTACGTTTACTCACTTTACTGGGGAGGTTCATGTGAGCGCAAATACTCGACCCGTGAGTCCTCGTGATTTATTAAATACAGTTTATTGCGCAGTACTTAGTATATTTATATAAAAGATGTAACGTAGTTAATGTTTTCTTTTTTTGGCTAGTAGAAGTTACGCATGGCCGGTAACTTAAAAAACTACTAGACAAATTGGCCGTTGGATGAAAAAGTTCATTTCAAACCCTGGTAATATTGAATGTAAAAGGTCTGCAAAGTTTCAAAGATAATAAAGATAAGAAATAAAGTTTTTGTCTCCTAAAAGAAAGAAGTGATTCTGAACCGCCTGAAACGAGTCGTCAGTAATTCCAGTCTCTCTTCCTGTTGAATCTACGTATGTTTGTAACAAATTTGCATAATGCCAGTCTATGATCTTCATTGGCTGCTGGTTGTATCAGAGATGGGAAGAGTTTGGTTCGTGTTGTTCATGTCGAGAAGACGCTGTTTTCTGCCGCCAAAACTGACACTATCGTTACTGTTCGTGTCACTGTGTATCAAGAGCTGAGATTCAGATGTGATAATGGCCTTCACTGACCAATCACAACAGATTGGGCCATCTGACCAATCAGAGCAGAGTAGACTCTCAGAAATGAGGGGTTTAGAGAGACCCTTTATCCAACTGTTTCAGACACTGTGAGAAAAGAGCTGATGATGTAGTGGACATTATGAGAAAATGAAAGTGTTTTTGTCCTGAGATGCATGTAGGAGTCTCCAAAGCAACATTATGAGCCTTTAAAATAGCTTTTAAATAACTTTAAGACTTACTGGGGCCTCCTGTAAGTCCTCTGAGGCCCCTAGTGGAGAACCCCCAGTGCATCATCACAGTGATGTGTGTGTACCTTAATGAAGGTGAGCTTGCAGACGCAGGGGGTGTTGCGAGTGCTCTTGATCGTGACCTCTCCATAATGCTCGATCCACCGTCTCCCGCTCAGGATGTTGTGGACGCACGTCGTCACCTTGTTCCACTCATAGTGATCACCATAACTAACACACGGAAAACAAGCTGTCAGTCACAGGAGCCAATCGGTGATGAATATGAGGAGGAGACAGAACGACTGATAGATGGACAGATGCATGATGGAGAGAAATAGAGACAGGGACTGTACCTGGGCAGCGAGACGTGCACTGTCCCGATGGGAAGAATCTCCATAGACTTCCCCCAAAACTTATTCTTCCATCTGACGTCTGAAGCACACACACACACAAACACACACACACACACACACACTTGAGTGTGATGATAAAAAGCTTTGAGAGTAAAAGCACAGGAGTGTTTTCAGTCGTACCTTGCCAGAAGGTGAAGTTCTGCGACTCGCAGTGACAGGCGGAGATGGGCGGATGGTGGCTCACCTAAACACACACACGGGGACATACAATCACTCGCTCAAGTTTATTAACCAATTAGCATTAAGTAATCCAGAGAAATTAATAATAAATAGATCTGCATATAATAATAATAATAATCCCAGAGCTTGGAGCGCTTTCTGTGTCTACGTTTTTGTTTTTCATGAGAATTTGTGACTTTTTCAAAGTGTCGCACTTCGACATAAATGGATTTCATTTTTTATTATAATAATAGTAGGGATTTTTTTATAATTATAGGGATTTTTATAATATCTAAATTTAAAAGCAAAACGTGAAAAAAAATATATTAGGGAGCGCAATGGAAAGTGAGCCTCTGCTGCCATCTACTGGTAATAAAAGTTCTCCTTCATTGTGACGATCTTTGATAAATGAACAAATAATCATCACATTAAAAATAACATTTAATATTTAGAGCTTTGAAGTGCTGGAAAAAACGTAAAGCATTTGAAAGTCCTTGAAAAGTGTTTGAATTTCACTCTCAAAAAGTTGTGCGAACCCTGAAATTTAAAGTGCACCAATGCCATGGATACAGTGAGCGTTACTACGTTAAATCCATGGATACAGTGAGCGTTACTACGTTAAATCCATGGATACAGTGAGCGTTACTACGTTAAATCCATGGATACAGTGAGCGTTACTACGTTAAATCCATGGATACAGTGCGTTACTATGTTAAATCCATGGATACAGTGAGCGTTACTACGTTAAATCCATGGAAACAGTGAGCGTTACTACGTTAAATCCATGGAAACAGTGAGCGTTACTACGTTAAATCCATGGATACAGTGAGCGTTACTACGTTAAATCCATGGATACAGTGAGCGTTACTACGTTAAATCCATGGATACAGTGAGCGTTACTACGTTAAATCCATGGATACAGTCCGTTACTATGTTAAATCCATGGATACAGTGCTTTACTATGTTAAATCCATGGAAACAGTGAGCGTTACTACGTTAAATCCATGGAAACAGTGAGCGTTACTACGTTAAATCCATGGAAACAGTGAGCGTTACTACGTTAAATCCATGGATACAGTGAGCGTTACTACGTTAAATCCATGGAAACAGTGAGCGTTACTACGTTAAATCCATGGAAACAGTGAGCGTTACTACGTTAAATCCATGGATACAGTGAGCGTTACTACGTTAAATCCATGGATACAGTGAGCGTTACTACGTTAAATCCATGGATACAGTGAGCGTTACTACGTTAAATCCATGGATACAGTGAGTGTTACTACGTTAAATACATGGATACAGTGAGCGTTACTACGTTAAATACATGGATACAGTGAGCGTTACTACGTTAAATACATGGATACAGTGAGTGTTACTACGTTAAATCCATGGATACAGTGAGCGTTACTACGTTAAATACATGGATACAGTGAGCGTTACTACGTTAAATACATGGATACAGTGAGCGTTACTACGTTAAATACACGGATACAGTGAGTGTTACTACGTTAAATACATGGATACAGTGAGCGTTACTACGTTAAATACATGGATACAGTGAGTGTTACTACGTTAAATCCATGGATACAGTGAGCGTTACTACGTTAAATACACGGATACAGTGAGTGTTACTACATTAAATCCATGGATACAGTAAGCGTTACTACGTTAAATCCATGGATACAGTGAGTGTTACTACGGTAAATCCATGGAAACAGTGAGCGCCATGGAAACAGTGAGCGTTACTACGTTAAATCCATGGATACAGTGAGTGTTACTACGGTAAATCCATGGAAACAGTGAGCGCCATGGAAACAGTGAGCGTTACTACGTTAAATCCATGGATACAGTGAGTGGTGAATGTGAACATCATGCCTTCAAAACCTTCATCCTTGGTGAAGATTGTAGATTGAAAAGGTTTCTCCTGGTTTCCACATGAGTGCAGTTTGATCTGATATCTGTGGTTTGTAACAGAGAATCCTGCGCTGCATTTGAAAGCTTCTCACTAGATCATGCAGCGATGTTATTAAAACTGCGGCGAATTCAGAAGTCTTCTCGCTGGATCTCCCAGCGCTGTGTAGTAACGTTGTCACGTGATTGAGTAACCCTCTTCTGAGCTCACGCGGCCTAATATTAGTTTGAGTCCATGCGGTGCAGCTCAAACGAGAAGCACGCTGTCATTCCGGTGTTGTGCCGAATTTCGACTCACTGCCAAATTATTACCCCCTCGTTGGTCAGTACCTGATTGCCTAATCCCAACCCCACCCCTAATCATAACCCCTCCCCCACAACCAATCCTACACCTACCAATGCTAGGGGGGTAATAATTTGGCAGGGGTCGGGATTCGGCACAACAACGGCAGCTCTTCTCAGTTGGGCCATGTGTGTGTATGTGTGTGTGTGTGACATAAAACAGGATGAATAACTCTACTATGAGCCTGTGCTAGTGTTTCCTCTATGAACAACTGCATTATGTCACACACACAGTGTAAAAGTTCAGTGCTGACAAAGAGCCTTTTCAAGTCAAGCAGGAAGAACCTTCGCCAGAGGACTATTGACGGCCTTGCTTCCAGCAAAACACCCTCACTCTCACTCTCTCTCTATCTATCTCACACACACACTCTCTCTTTCTCTCTCTCTCTCTCTCTCTCTCTCACACACACACACACAGTGGTGCAGTGCTACAGTAAACGACAGGAACTCACCTGGAACAGGTACTGCATAATCTAGGTACTGCTGTGTGTGTGTGTGTGTGTGTGTGTGTGTGTGATAATGTACCTGTTCAGAAAAGAAGCAGAATCCTTTGTCTTCACGGACACATTCATATGTTTCCCCTAGAAGAGGGTTAAAGGGTTTGCTGCCCGCTCTATAATAGGTGGATGAATATCCTGAAACTGCAAACGCTGCAATGATCGCCTGCACACACAAACAAAGCAACCTGTCAATACACACACCACCACTGAACCCACTGAGCCCAGATCCACCGTGTGCTCTTCATACGGACTGAACAGTGCTTACAGGAACAGGGCAATACTGAGGACGAGCATCACACAAACACACAGTCACACGGGCTCGGGTCACAACTGAAGGGCTAATGCCACATCATCTGTCAAGAGCAGCTCAGGCTCTCCAAATGAGGAGAGTAAACATAAGAAACAAGCAGATTAAGGGCATATTTCATCCCAAAAACTAACAAAAATACAAAATATAATAAATAAAACATTTCTAGGGACCTTTTTGCAT